CACACAGTCAATACCCTGTGTCACACTACTCTTGTACTGTGTGCTCACACTGTCAATACTCTGTGTCACACATCCCTTGTGCTGTTTGGTCACTGTCAATACCGTGTGACACACTACGTTTGTACTGTGCGCTCACACTGTCAATACCCTGTGTCACACATCCCTTGTGCTGTGTGGTCACACTGTCACTGACCTGTCACACTACTGTAGTGCTGTGTGGTCACACTGTTGTCTGTGCCAATGCCTTGTGCCATGGCACACTTTCCCTAGCCTGTTCACATTCATCTTGTACTGTGCCACAATGATGTCGTCCTATGTCATCCTGTTGTTGTCCTACACCAGGCCATCTTTTCCTTGACTTCTGCCACACTGCGCTTTTTTTTCCCCGGAAGAGGAGGTGTTAAATTGACCCTGACTGAGAGGCCTGGTCCTGCGACAGTTACCAGACTCTGCGCTGACCAATCAGAATATCGCCATGGGAGGAAACAGCAGGAAAAAGCTTTCGCCAGGAAGGAGAAAGAGGGACAGACAGCAGCAAAAGGGACAGTTTACACAAGACAATGTTTCTGGGCTCTGCTGATACTGACTGGCTGCAGTGAAACGTACTGTTTGGTCCATACAGAGCAGTGACTGCATGTTAAACCTTGTTACTAATGCCGATGTAACACGACAACTAACATCCTTGGAATGAGTGCGAAAAAGAATGAGCTCAAAAAAGAGGAAGAAGAATCATTTGTCTAAGAACCCACTGACAACTGGATCTCTTTAGCCTTTAACAAATCCTGAAAGGTTACCGACAAAGTCAACCGAAAGAGACTGTATTCGCAAGATCGAAAGCAAAACGAAGACCAAGGTTTACCAGTGCAAAATAAGAGGAGCGGCACTTAGGACTGAAAGCAGCAGACAATTCGTCAAAGAGCCTGAGGGTGTCTGAAACAAACTGCCCAGCTCCAGGACTCCTCCCTCCCGGGAGATGCACCCCTAACCTGGCTCGGCGATGCCCCACTCCTCCAGGTGTGAGCACCTCTTCACCCTGGCTCAGCTGGCCAGGCCTGTTCCTCAGCGCACACTTCCCCTCTGAGCCTGGCGAATGGACTATCACACGGGCAGCCTGTCTCAGCTGTGTTTCCTCACTCACTCCCGCTGCTCCTGAGATCTCACTCCTTCCTTCCCAGCTGGAGCCCGGAGGCGGATTGAAAGCCTCTCAAAACCCCAGGGGAGTGACCTATTCCACTCACACACTCACCTGCTCCTCGTGAGCTTTCACTCCCTCTGGCAGCCAGTTATTCAACTAGACCAGGTGTGTCTCTTTTTCACCTGGTTCTTCCTCTCACTACCTCACAAGGCTGAGCAGCAGTTCCCTTGTTGGGAAACTCGTGTTCCAAAACAGGTTTGCATGAAAATGTTACTTATCCCTGACTCTATAATAAGCAGAACCCACCAGCTAACAGTCAAGGTACTAAATATTTGAAACACCCACGGGTAAACCCTGTCCATTTACTCAAACAGTTTCACAGGAAATGAACAAGGGGTGAGAGAGACAACAGGAAACATAATGCCCGCCCCCTGGGAACACTAGTCTGTTCAGATGGCAGCAGTAGAGATGAGATGTGAGGGGCCTCCTGTAAATCACAGATGCACCGTGGAGTTAAGAAATCTGATTGGCCCCTGGTTCCAAAATCTCCGCTTCAGCTGGCTGGTTCCTCGTTCAACTCGCTGTGCTGTCATTGGACAGAAATCCCAGCGCTGTGCTGTGATTGGTTCTGGGACCACACACTGTACAGTGGCTGGCTGAGATTAGCTAACTCTGTCCCGAGTGCTGTGCCGTGATTGGTCCCCACTGTCCCTGTGCTGGGATGGTTGCCGTTATCCAGCTGGAGATCCATGCCCAGATCTCACTCAGACTGGACCTCATGGCAAATGCTCACCTGCTCTCTCTCCGCCATCCTGCGGTCCTCTTCCCTCCTCAGTTCCTCCAGCCGGCGGTGCGGCCCCTTCTCCTGCTGCTTCACCAGCTCCCGCTCCTTCCTCTGTTGCTGCAGGGAAAGCGAGGCAGGCGAACACATGAGCATGGGCGGGAGAGCGCCCCCTACTGGTGCAACCACGCCACTTGCAGCAGCAGCAGCCTGTTTTCCTGAGCGCTCTCCCTTGCCGAGCTCCTGAGGCCTGAGCAGTTACCTCCTCCAGCCGGCGCCTCTGCTCCTTCTGCTCCTCGATCCGTTTCTGCCGGTCGTGCAGCAGCTGGCGCTTGTGCTCCTCGGGGTCGCGGCGCTGGGCGGCCAGCTGGGCCTGCTGCCTCTTCAGGGCCTCGGAGCGCTCCTTGTTCTCCTGCTGCAGCCGCAGGAAGTCACGGCGCAGCGTCGACTCACCCGGCACGTTCAGGATGGAGCTGGGGGA